TGAGGGTAGTAAGGCTGGGGGTGGTGAGGCTGAGGGTGGTGTGGGGGGTAGTGAGGCCGGGGGTGGTGAGGCTGAGGGGGAAAAGGGGGGGTGAGAGAGCCTACCTGTCCTCCCTGGTGGTCTGGTGGCCACTTCTTCCGGTCTGCAGCTCCGCAGAGCTGCAGACCGTGTAATCTCGCAAGATTTCAGAGCATTGCCGTGGTAACCCGCGGCAACGCTCTGATTGGCTAATTCTCGCGAGACGCAGTGAGCAGAGCTGCAGACCTGTGTCTGCGGTGGCCGGCCGGGCAGCCAGGAGTGACCTCGCACCGGGCAGCATACTGGGCAAGCCGCCAGCCCCCTCCTAGTGTCAGGTCCTCGGTCACTGACCGAGGGCCTGACACAGACTGCCATAAGGTGGTTTAGGCGGCCGCGAGGCCCCAGCCAGCGCGAGGCCTTAGGCGGCCGCCTAAACCGCCTAATTAGAGAGCCGCCTCTGGTTTTCTGCACAACTGTCAGGTCAGGAGTCTTCCCCATGATTGTGATTCCTACTGAACCAGACTGAGAGACCATTTAAAGTCTCAGAAACCCTTTGCAAGTGTTATGGCTTCCTTAGCTGATTAGAGTGGGACACTGTGAGCTTAGAATATTGCACCTTTTCATAATATTCTAATTTACTGAGATTGTGGATTTGGGTTTTCATGAGCTGTAAGCCATAATCATCGCACTTATGACAAATCACTGCTTGAACTATATTGCTTTGCATGTAATGCGTCTATCTCATATATTAGTTTCCCCTTTTATGTTGCATTACTGAAATAAATGAACTTTTGCAAGGTATTCTAATTTTTGGAGTATCACCTGTATATGGTTACTTGGTAGAAAAATCATATAGCAGACAGCAACATTTTAGTCTACCAGGGGTCCTAAACATGGCCACTAACCTACATTTCAGAGCAGGAGTGGTTGCTCTGGGAGATGTGAACCAAAGGGTGTTGCACAAAATGATCAGTTTATAGTGTTAAACACAGCTTATATATTTGTAGTGTGTGTATATTTTTTTTGCTAATTTAAACCCTATAATTAAAGTTTAAATACTTTGTGCAGACACTTTGATGGATTTATGGTCTTTTTAGTGATTATTTAAATGTTGAATATTCAAAGAGTCATTGTGGAGGTTTTTTTATAAAAAATAATCCAGGACTACACTGACATGGGAATGTCAAATTTTAGGCTAAGTAAAAGAGCTCAAAAATAGCTGAAATTAAGAACTTTTCCAGTTTAACTATTTTGGTCTAAATGACCGCGTGTCTTGCAGCACTAACTTTAACAAGGTTATTTGTTGAAGTGTGAATTGTCAGGAATACAATGTTAATGTAAAATGGAATTCACATATTAGACTGTAAAAACCAGATTGGAAAAAGCTCAGCTCAGAAATTTTGACCTAAAATTCACATTCCAGATAATTCGCACTTTAGTAAATAACCCTGCGTGATTCTGATTGGTATTGGATATTGTGACGGATGCCTTCTCCACGGATTGCACCCTGTAAACTTTTTCTGTTTGTTTTAATTGTACTGCCCGAACACTTAAAGGACCACTCTAGGCACCCAGACCACTTCAGCTTAATGAAGTGGTCTGGGTGCCAGGTCCTTCTAGGGTTAACCCATTTTTTCATAATTATAGCAGTTTCTGAGAAACTGCTATAATTATGAATGGGTTAAGCCTTCCCCCAAAGCCTCTAGTGGCTGTCTCATTGACAGCCACTAGAGGCGCTTGCGTGCTTCTCACTGTGATTTTCACAGTGAGAGCACGCTAGCGTCCATAGGAAAGCATTGTAAATGCTTTCCTATGCGACGGGCTGAATGCGCGCGCAGCTCTTGCCGCGCGTGCGCATTCAGCCGGCGGGGCGTAACGGAGGCGGAGAGGAGGAGGAGAGCTCTCCGCCCAGCGCTGGAAAAAGGTAAGTTTTTACCCCTTTCCCCCTTCCAGAGTCGGGCGGGAGGGGGACCCTGAGGGTGGGGGCACCCTCAGGGCACTATAGTGCCAGGAAAACGAGTATGTTTTCCTGGCACTATAGTGGTCCTTTAACCGAACACTTAAAACCTACCCAGTTCATTTACCGAACAAACTGTCGAACGGACCGAACCATCGTGTGTCGCCCACTTGACCTTCCTAACACCTACTCTAACCGCAAACCCTGAACATTCTAAGTGGTCGGCTGGGTGGCCGTCATTCGTATGGACGAACACGAGGTGGTGGCCATCTTGTTTTGGCAAACACTTCCAGCGGGGTTTGGTCATCGAGTATATGGAACTATTATCGGACACTCGACAGCCCGAACACCACTGAGACTTCCACTCCCACTTATTTTTTTTCCATTATATGCGAAGAAAGCAGCGTTCAGTGAAACCAAACTCCCGAACGAGGGGCACACAACTGTTCCTTTTGGTATTTCGTTGGGTTTGGAGTTCCCAAAAGAGATCGACCGCCCAGCCTGAATTTATGGAACTATTTTGTGCAGAAGCCTCGAGACTTCCATAAAAATCTTAAACCTCTGAACCAATTTGGGGGATTTTTAAATATGTTGCTCCCCTAGATCGGTGCTATCAGGGGATATACCTTGTGTGGGGATTATGTGAGTTTTTGGGGTACTTTCGGGTTACCTGTAAATTGTGTTCTTTTTTACCTAGACATAATTGAGTTAATACAGTATCTGTTTCAATTATCTCCCAGGAAGAAGGGAGGGATTGTATGATTGTATATGGGAGGGTCATGCATTTAAACACCGTTGTCATTGTTCTGTAGTTCCCCACAAGGTCCATGTGGGAGTAACCCTTGCATGGGGACTTGCATAAAAGTCCAATGTGGCTACCAATAAATCAGTTCCTGCTAACCCTCATCATAGAGTCCCATCTCATGATTTTAGGGACCAGCTACACCTGCTATATTTACCAGCTCTTGTAAGAGCTATACTATCCTGGGAAATCGGAAAGCATTACTCTGAATAGGGTGAAACGAACAGCTCAGACAGAACTGCCAATCTGAGATGTGCCCTTTCCAACTCATGACAACCCACTGAAATTATCACATAAATTATCACATGGGAGCCCATTTCATGTTAAAACAGTGAGGGAACTAATAGCTGGTTTCAGGTCTATATTGACATTGTACACACTGTCTCACTCCTTTAAAATGCCATCTGCACAGAGGGATCATGGGGATTTAAAAAAAAATAAGTTAATTAAAGATCAAGGCACTGTGATTATTACAGTGATCCACAGCTTTAAACGTTATTTGACGATCCTGGTGTACCTTTTGGGGAGGGTACTCACCAGTTACCGGGCAGAAGTGTAGTGGTGCTAGCTTCCCCTGGGACTGTGTAAAAAAAAACGGACGCACAACTGGAACTCCCAAGCATCCGGGAGCAACTCCCATCACCCAGAGAAAGCCGGTTTTGGTAATGTCAGCCTGGAGCATAGCTCAGATCCTGCTGCAGATGTCCACAGGAGGTCTTGGTCAGATTCTGCTTCAGAAGAAGAGGAGGTTTCGATGCCAGCAGTTCCCCAGCGGTCCGGTGAGTTTTTACATTGCGCTGGTCAGGGGACTGGTGCCCAAGAACAGCCCAGGGAGTGGTTGCGCGTGCTTAGGACCCTAGTTGACAGTTTCCAATCACAGCTAACTGGGCAAAGGGTAGCCGCAGGGCAGGATA